ACTCTACCCAGGGGGACAGCTTGAGGCTCTGTCTCAAAAAAAAAAAAAAAAAAAAAATTATAAACATTTGTATCTCTAATGACCAAGTCTGAACAACTGGTTTGTTGAACTCATATGATAGAGTAGCTGCATCCCAAAGGGCGGTTCAATGAGACTGACCTCCAAACCCAAACAGGACTTTCAAAGCTAGGGCTATGTAGGGACTGGCTCAATCCTCTACCACTTCTGCCCCTGGCTGGGATGGGGGAGCCCAGCGGACAGGCTCCAGTCCAGTATGAGGAGAGGGGTCTTGGCCAAGTGTGTTTGGGAATTCTCTATCCAGGACCTGGGAAGAAGAGAGTGGGAGCACCAGTTCCTCCTTATTATGCCTCAGCAGGCCGGGGGGGTCCGCCCACCACCAGCACCTCGGTCTCCAGAAGCCCAGCCTCCTACGACCCTGCCCTATGCACCATGACCCCAGCCCGTCTCCCACGACCCCGACCTGTTCCCCACGACCCCACCCCGTCTCCCATGACCCTCCTGACAGTGCCAGAAAACAGGAAGCGGACTATGGCAGCACTGCAAGTGCAGGAAGCGGCTGGCTGGGCTGGCGGGGCTGGAGGGGGCGCGGTGCTTATCTCAGGCTGCAGCCCCAACCCCTGGCCTCACGCCGGGCAGGGGGGCCAGGGCCGGCCCAAGGACAAGGCTTGCTCACCTGGCGGGGAGCCCGGGCCACCTCTTCCCTGAACCACAGCTGTCACCAACTATGAAGGGGAGACTACAAGGCCTGGGACAAAACTCCACTGAATCAGGGGTGTCCTTCACCCCAGGGAAGAGAGGAGGTCCCACCAACAGCAGGAGGTGACCCAGGAGCCAGAGTCCATAGGACATGCCCCTCCCCCACAGCAGGCTGCTCAGCCCTTCCCCCAAGGGCCTGACCGCTGCATTTCCCTCCCCCTCAGGAAAGGACTCACTTCCCCTACCAGGTGAGATCTCCCTTTGATTCTTCTGGGAGGAATTTTGATGGGTTGGGGGAGTTGGGAAGAGGGGGCCATGGTTGTTTGTTTCTGTGTTTATAAAACTGGGTCTTTTCCGAGGAGAGGGCAGGATGGGGACTGTCCCTGGGCCTCCCTCAGGGTCTTGAAGGCCACAGACAATGGGTCCCAGCACCTGGCAGTGTCCTCCCCACCAAGTGAGTATGTGCTTCCTGGGTTGGGGGACTTGTTTTGTTCCCAAGTCAGCCACAGCTGGAGCAGGGGCCTCCTTGCACACTTCAAGGTTCTAGACACACAGGGCCAGGCATCCTCCAGGTCTGGGAGCAGGTGTTTCCTCCTAGGATCACACTCCCCTGCCCTTCCCCCAACTGCGGACACAAGTCTGTTCTGTCCTGTCCTCTCACAGAGCCTGGAAATGGAGGGCAGACAAGATCCATCTTTCCCACATGCCCAGCTCTACTCAGCCCAGTTCAGCACAATTTCTAGGCAGGAGTGACACCAGCCCATGAGTGGCTGCAGCCCTCCCCTCTGTGGAGGTGGAGGTAGGGTGGGGAGACAGAAGAGCATGGGGACAGGGGTATGGAACACACAAGTTGCAAAGTCACTATTAACTTCTGGTTTTGCAAATCCAGGGACTAGCTTGCAGGCTTGCCTGAGTTCCAGATGTTCTTTCAAAGGCTCCCAGTCTAGGGAGGCCATGGACCCAGGCTCCCTTCAAAGCTTGCCTTCTCTCAGCACTGCACATGGGGTGGGGGTAGGGGGCTGACTCCTGGGCTGTGGGAAGTTGCACAACCCTGGCCATGCCCTGAAGGCCCCATCTGCCACCCTGGCACAGCCCTCTCCTTCTGGGCCACAACTCCCCACCTTCCTGGAACAGCTGAGCCCTGAGAGGCACTAGGGTGGGATGGGACATTACTGTGTGCAGAACCCAACCCAGAGACATGCTCTGCAGAGGAAGAGCCAGGATCAGGCCATGTGCTCTGGGCCTCTGCAGAAAAAACACCACCAGCAGGGCTGGTCCATGGGATCTGCCTCCAGCAGCCCCATGGCCAGTGGCTCTGTCCCCATGAGTGAGCCTCTTTCCACCTCTAGGTTGGTCTGTACAGTTCCAAATACTAAAAAACTAGTATTTGTGGAGCAGCTCACATGCTAGCCTGAGTCAAGTGCTTCTGTCCTCAGGAAGCTACAAAGGAGCTGTGGGGACTCTCCAATACAGTCCCAGAGCCAAGCACCTCAGGGTCTGTGCAGGTACCACAGCCTCCCTTCTAGTCTCTGTGGCTCTGGGCCTCTTCTATGGGCTCTGCAGCTGCCTGCAGACCTAATCTGGTTAAGTGAACTTTGTCCCAGAAACCCCCATCCTGAATGAGGAAGGAGCCACGGGGCCAGGATGCAGGAACTTCTTACTCATCTGTGTGGCCCTGGTTCGGGACTCAGGTGTCAACGTGTTTCCAATCTCTGAGGCCTCCTCCTACCCCCAGGAGGCTGTGGTTTCTGTTTGAAACTTTCTCAGTCACAGGGATTGTGGAGGGGGGAGGGTTCTCCCTGTTGCCCACACACCTTTCTAGCTTCTGATGCTTAGACAGCAGGAGGGGAGTGGGTGGGAAGAAGCCATGGGCAGCCAGAAAGTCATGCCCAGGTGCCAAGGACAAGAGAGGAGTGTGCTGTTGATGGCCCTGGCACCAGGGCAGCTCCAAGGCAAGAAGCCAGTTGGCCCTGGAGAAAGGGGGCAGTGGGAGGCTTTGCAGAGAGCCTGCACCCAGGCCAGACCCCTGGACTCTTTCACTGGCCTGAAGGCCCCAGCTCAGAGGCCCCTACCAGTCCTATTCTGCTGCCATACACCTTATGTTATCAGTCACACAGGATCTTTTTTCTTTCCACCTGGACACCTGGCCATACCCTAGCATCCCCAGAAATGCAGGTCATGCTCATCAGCCATGTTCATGGCTGCCAGGCTCTCTTAGGCACCTCTACTCTTGTCTGCATTCCCTAAGTTCAAGATGGGGAACCATCTAGGTCCTTGGGACTGCTGGACCTCCTCCCAATAACCCCCTGGTAGGCTACTAGGCAATAGCCACCCAACCTCACCTCAACCCTCACCCACCCACTGTGAAGTCCTCCATCCACAGGAATCTTTGTATGGTACATGCCAACTCTAACCCTCTCTCCCAACACTATAGGCTCCACCTAGCCCCTGCACTCTGATTCCCACACCTGCCCACACTGCCCCCACCCCTACCCCCGGGAGCCTGTAATGAAGAAACCAAGCCCAGGGACACTCTGTGTTTGTGTTCAGGGTGTGGCTTAGAAGCTTATGGGCTGACTCTGCAGGGCAATCAGGTTCTGGAGTCCAGGGATTTCAGCTCCATCCCTGGAGCAGAGTGCATGTGGCAGGTACTATTCTCAGGGCGCAGGTCTGACTCCGTGTGATTTGAGGCAAGTCTTGAAACCTCCCTGTGCCTCAGTTTCCTCATCTATAAAACAGGGACAACTATTCCTGTCATGCAGACTAAATGCATTAACACACACAGAGTGGACAGCGGCATCAGGATCAGCTTTTGTGGTTACTTCTTGCTCATGCTGCTTGCCTTGGTGCTTCCTGGGCCCCTCTTTCTCTGGGGGGAGGAACAACAGGTGTCAGGTGTTGTACCTGTTCTGTTCCCCTGCCCCTCCATGGGCCAGCTCAGAGAGGAGGTGACAGATCCTTGGCCCTATGCAGCTGTGGGTGAGGTTACCAAGGGCCAGTCTCACACCCTGCCCAGCAAATGTAGGGTGCCAAGAACCAGACAGCAGACCCCACGCCAGCCTGGCCAGTCCTGCAGAGGGAGCTGGGCCAGTCCCTGGAGCCCAAGCAGTGACCACCCCACCCGAGGCAGCAGGAAATAGACTGGCTGAGCTCAGGCCAGGGCCAGCCCCTCCGGCTTCCCTTCAGGCCTGTTTCCTTTATCCGGTTGTTTTGCTCTGAACTCTCCAAGTTCAGCCTTCCCCTCCCCATTTCCACCCCCTCTACTGGTCAGGTCCAAAGTGGAGCAGGACGGATACATGACGTTTTAGGGGCCCCAGAAGTCCCCCAGCCCAGCCCAGCCCAGCCGCCACGGGTCTACCCAGCCCAGAGCGGTAGACCTAGCTGGAGTGTGTCCAGCATCCCGCGCCCGCCCTCTGCTGCCCAGGGCCGGGAGGGCGCCTCTGCCTCTGCTCAGGTGTACCGGGAATGATGCCCCTCAGCGCTCTATCAACTGCCCCCAATTGAGGCGCAGACCCGGAGTGGCCTGGGGCCAAAAGCCATGTAGGCAAAGGGAAAGAACGGGACCGCAGCACCAGCTCGGTTTATTGAGGCGTCACTCCGCGAGCTGAGGGTGGGGCTCCCTTCTCCACATCCTGGACCCTCCGGAGAGCGCTGGCTGCGTGGAGGGAGAGCGCTGGCTGCGTGGAGGGAAGGGCTGAGGTCCCCAACAAACGTCATCAGGCGAGGCTTGTTTCCACGCTAGCTGCAGCTCTGCTAGGTCGCGCGGGGCGCAGGATGGGCCATGCTACGGGCCCCGGTGGCCCCAGCACGCAGCGCAAAAAGCTTCTCCCAGCAGGTGGCGACGGCATCCAGGGCGCGCAGCAGGAGCTGCCTTTGGCCGCCGCGACGCTGAGTAGGGCGCGTCTTGGGCCGCATAATCCGCTGTCGGGGACCAGGTGGTCAGCAAGCGTGCACGGCCCGCACCCAGCTCCTGGGAAGGGAGTCGCAGCAGGGGGGCCAACATGACCCCCCCCACCCCCCACCCCACTCCCCGGCGGAGCCAGGAGAGACACATTGGCTTTGTGGGGTCGGGGGAGGGCTGGACTCGTACACCCCCAGGGACGCACACCTGGTGCAGCGTCCTGCAGTAGCGCCGCATCACTGCCTCGGTGCGCACAGCCACAGTCCATGCCGCTTTCTCCAGCGCCCCGCGGCGGCGCCCGCCTATCACCCCGCGCAGTGTCCGACCCAGGGACGTGATAGACAGTAAAATACTGTGCTCCTGGAGAGGTTAGGGAGGAAAGTTGGGGGGAGGGGAGTGCGAGCGGGAGATTGGGAGAGGAGCCCCATGGGGGCTGGAGGGAGGGGCAAGAGGGCGTGGGTGCGCCTCCCCCATACCTTCTGGGCACCACAGGAGGCCCTAGGTTGTCCCCGCCGCCCTAACCCCCTGGCTTCGGTCAGGGTCAGGTTTTTCGGAATGAAATGTACGTGTCTAGAGCCTGGCGAGGTCCCTTTGGCCTCTGGCCCGACCTGCCTCATGGCGGCCTGCAGGTCCTCAAAGATGACAGCTTGGTAGTGGCGGAGCATGTCAGGGACGCTGCAGGCACGAAGCCGAGTCCTGCCTGGCGCGGTCCCCAGTAGCACCAGCAGCAGGACCAGCAGCAGTGCCCAGAGCACAGGCTTGGTGCGCACCTGTTGGAGACACCAAGTTGGCCTCCCGGCACAGGAAGCAGACCTGCAGCATCTGGGCCCTTCCCCCTGCCTGCGCCCAGGGGACCCTCGCTGTACAAAATGGAACTGTGGTGTCCAGGCAAGGGCTCCAGGCAAAGGCTGGGCAGGATAAATCCATGAGGCAGCAGATAGGCCTGTGAAGACTCGTGGGTGAGTGATGAGGGGTGGAGAGGCCATTTCACTGAGAGGTAACATAAAGAACCCCCCCCCCCCCAAAAAAGGAACAGGTCTAGAGGCCGCAGAGCTTGGTGCTGTGATCTCCATGCCAGCTAGGTCAGCAAGGGGTGGTGCCTCAAGACTGCAGCAGGCAGGTTGCAGCTCTGCACAGCTGGAGGGGGGCTGTCCCTCAGGGTTACAACAGGAAGTCGTCCCAGTACAGCCTTAGCCTGGCCATGCCAATCCAGCCCCATACCTTCCCACACAACTGCAGTTCAGTCTCCCCACCGGAGCTGGGCTAGAGCTTGCTGCTCCTAAGGCTCAGCAATTCCCACCCCCATTGAAAGGTCCTTAGAGACAAGACACAGGAACTAGGGTCTCCCTGCACCCCTAACCCAACTGAGGCAAGGGCTCAGAGCTCCCAGCCATACATCCTACTTGAAGGGGGTCGGAGACCCCAGAAATGACAGGGGAGGAAAGGGGCCACCAACATCAAGCCCCAATCAACAGTTGGAACCAACCCCAAAAGCTTCCTGTACTTACAAGCAACCCTCTCCTGCCATCTCCCAGAACAGAGCAGACTGTCATCAAGGGGAAGAAGCCCGAACACTAAGGAGACAGCCAACTGCTCCAGATTCCTATCCACTCCAAAGGGACCAGCCCCCAAACCTGTCCCAGTGTAGAGGCAGCCAGCCAATCTGGGGCTGGAAATTGATCATGCGAACCGACTAAGATGACAGGACTCGGCTTCCCAGCCTGCAGGGAGTTGAAACAAGCAGCACCCCAACCCTCACCTAGAGCTGGGTGTTTTGGGGGGGGGCTCTTGCCCACAGCATGAGGCAGTAATGGCTGGAAAAGCAGATGCACTTTGCTGTGAGCCCCTTTTAAACTGCTACCCCCAACACACGCTATGGCAACTCAGCAACTTCAACAACTGCCACGTCACCCATCCTGCCTGCTTTGGGTCAGAGGCCACACTGAGAACAAGAGCCTGAGTCCTAAGCAAGAGGCTGGAGTTGCCAAAGGGACATTCAGTACCTGCTATGCCCCAAGTTGGCCGTCTGGGCAGTCCCAGATGTCTTGTCTACACCCCCACCCAAAGGTCAGCCTCAGCACCATGTGGGAGGACAGGGTGGCTCAGCACCAGACGACTCCCTCCCACAGCTGCCGGGAAGGCCAGGGCACATGCACCCAAGTCAGCCTCCTTGATGGGAACCAACCGGGGATTTCCCAGTGGGGCGCAGCAGGGGCACAACCAGCGTCTTCCAACTGTGCTTGCTCCCAGCCTCTTGGGCCAAGTGTGCCCCCTCCCCAGAGGCCCGAAGCTGCTCACCATAGGCCTCTCAGGGTCTTGCCCTCCCTCACTCCCGCCAGTCAGTCACACACATGGTCCTGGGGTCCTCAGATGGGAAGTGCTGCTACACCAGGCCCAACAATCCAGGCAATCCAGCAGGCGGCTTTTGAAGTTGGCTCCTCTAAGCAGAGGAGGGAGGAGGCAGGAGGAGAGGGAAGAAGAGAGGCCACGCAATAGCCCTGCCCTCTCCCTGTCCCCACCTCCTGTCCAATCACATCAATTAACCTGACCCTGGAGCCCAGCAGCCACCTGTCCCAGTGCATCCAGGGCTGCTCTAGGTCTTGGGTAAGTTGCCAGCCCCAGGGAGAATCCGCTCTGTCAAGGAGCAGGCTGGGGTGCCTGGTGGGCAGAGGGCAGTGCAGGGTCCAGCTGAGGGGCGTGGGCGAGGCTGGGGCCTGCCTCACTGGCAAGTCCTGCCTCTGCAGGGTCCTAACCTGTCTCACCATAGCTGCACCCTATATGCAAGGGTCTTGCCCCAATAGGTCCTGAGATGTGGGACTTCCTGGGGCCCCACCACTGGCCCAGCCTCACCACTCCTGAGCTGAAGAGTCTTTCACTGGGGGAGGCCATGGTCCCAAGGTTGATCTCTGCCACCTACTGTGCTACAGGTGTGAGCACCAGCCCTGATAGGCAGGCAACAGAGAGACAGAACAAGAGCAATGCAAGGACAAGACCCACCTGTAGCCTGGGCTAAAAAAGTTCCAGTTTAAGAAAAGTTACCGGGTGGTGCCTGTGGTTCAAGGGTAGGGCTCTGGCCCCATATACTGGAGGTGGTGGGTTCAAGCCCAGCCACAGCCAAAAAATAAAATAAAACAAAATCTTTAAAAAAAAGAAAAGAAAAGTTACCTGTAATCTCAGCACTCTGGGAGGCCAAGGTGGATAGATCGCTTGAGCTCATTTTGAGATCAGCCTGAGAAAGAGCAAGACCCGGTCTCTAAAAAATTAGCCAGGCATTGTAGCAGGTACCTTTAATTCCAGCTACTCCAGAGGCTGAGACAAAAGGATCACTTAAGCCCAAGAGTTTGAGGTTGCTGTGAGCTATGACACCATAGCACTCTACGGAGGGTAACAATGATAGACTCTGTTTGGGGAAAAAAAAAAAAAAGAGCGGGGCCCATGGCTCAATGGGTAGGGTGCCGGCCCCATATGCCAAGGGTGGTGGGTTCAAGCCCGGCCCCAGCCAAACTGCAACAAAAAATGGCTGGGCGTTGTGGCGGGTACCTGTAGTCCCAGCTACTCAGGAGGCTGAGGCAAGGGAATCGCCTAAGCCCAGGAGTCAGAGGTTGCTGTGAGCTGTGTGACGCCACGGCACTCTACCGTGGGTGATAAACTGAAACTCTGTCTCTACAAAAAAAAAAAAGGTAAAGTATATTCTCCCAGGGAGAGAAAGAAGCTGGTGACCTACAAGTACACTCAGACAAACAAAAGTGGTCCTGTAAAGATAATCCTGGACCAGGTGTGGTGGTGCCTATAGTCCCAGCTACTTGGGAGGCTGAGGCAGGAGATCTCTTCAGCCTAGGAGTATGAGGTTGCTATGAGTTGGGTGATGCCATAGTACTCTAGCCAGGGAGACTGAGTGAGATTCTGTCTCATAAAAAAAAAAAAAAAAAAAGATTGAGGCTTGGTGCTGGTAGGTCAGTGGTTGGGGTGCCAGCCACATACACTGGAGCTGGCAAGTTCAAACCCAGCCCTGCTAAACAATGACAACCACAACAAAAAAAATAGCCAGGTGTTGCGGCAGGCACCTATAGTCCTAGCTACTTGGGAGGCTGAGGCAAGAGAATTGCTTAAGCCCAACAGTTTTTGAGGTTGCTGTGAGCTGTGATGCCACTGCACTCTACCAAGGGCAACATAATGAGACTGTTTCAAAAAAAAAAAAAAAAAAAGATTGATTCTGCATTTTTTATTGTACCTTTCCTATGTCTTGATATAGAAATACTTAACTATTGGCTCAGCACCCATAGCACAGTGGTTATGGTGCTGGCCACATACACGGAGGCTGGCAGGTTCTAACCCGGCACAGTCTAGCTAAGCAATGACAACTGCAACAAAACAATAGCCAGGAGTTTTGGCGGGCGCCTGTAGTTCCAGCTGCTTGGGAGGCTGAGGAAAGAGAATCACTTAAGCCCAAGAGTTTGAGGTTGTTGTGAGCTGTGATGCCATAGCACTCTACTGAGGATGACATAGACTCTGTCTCCAAAAAAAAAAAAGAAAGAAATACTTACTGTTGTGTTAAAGCTGCCTACAATATTCAGTACAGTCACCTCCTGCTGTCCCCACTTGTAGTCTAGAAGCAGTGGGATGTGCTACAGCCCCAGATGTGCAGCCACCCGGTGTGTGGCCAGCTATGCCGTCTAGGCCACTCTGAGCACACTTTATGTGCATTTCTAAGAACCAGCCCTGCTGCTCAGTGACATGACTGTCCTCTGACCATTTCGAAGCATCTGAGAAACCCCCTGAGTGCAGGTGTTCTGGAACATTCCAAGGGCCCTGCAGAAGCCTCCCAGAATGGGGCCTGACTCACTCTTCTCTGTATGACCCCTAAATACCCACCCAGCATTGATCAAACTTAGCCCCAAGGCTGGAGGAAGTGCTAAGAAGCCAGGCCCCAATGCAGGGCACAGAAGGCCACCAGCAGCTGAGGGGCTGCAGCAAAGTCCATGCCCCTATGAGGGCCTCAGCTTCCACACCTGTAGAGGAATGTGCTGGTTTTCAAACTCCAAAAACCTGCAGGACTCACTCTTCAAACTGAATCTGGGCACAAAGGCAGCTCTTGAGTTTCAATGGAAATACCCACCAGGCACTGGCAGTCACTCCTGGGGGTGGGGGAGGAAGGGTTTCCAGACCCACAGACTCTGTTCATGAGCTGGACCCATCCCAGGTTACCTGTTCCAAGATGACCAATCAGTTCTGTAAGCCCCACACAGGGGTAGTTGGTCCTTTGCCCCTAGACTGGCCAGGTCCTCAAGGCTTACAGAACCCCAGAGAAGGTGGACCCCCACCTTCCACTAGGCCAGGCCTCACACCCTAGGTGCTGACAGTGAGGTGAATGCACATGTAGCGAGGATGCTCACGGCTCCCCCGACCTCAGCCAGTCTCGCCTGTCAGGAGCAGGGCAGGGGCCATAGGCCTAGCACAGGCCCCAAGTGCACAAGGACTAAGCTCAGGGTCCATGACTGATAACACACAGGGCCCCTCTGGGGTGATTCTCTCCCAGGGAATGTCTGGGAACAGCTGTCATCCAAAAAGCCAGGTTCTGGCTGACTGGATGACCGCCTTACCACCTCACCTGCCAGCACCATCCATCTACAGCCTCTGGACCAGTGTGGCCTGCACATCCCTTGCAGGAGAACCAGTTAGCTCCTAACTGAACACACAGGCATGGACTCAAGACCTGAGAAATCCTTTATCCTCATATTGCTTAAAGGCTGAAAAGAAGCCAAGTCTCCCAGGTAACATCATTTCCAACCTAGCAATGAGCACAGTTACAAGTGCATTAAGATAAAATTGCTTATTACAAATTAGCAAAAAGAAATTCATCTGCACAAGTGAGAAAACCTCATACTGGTAACACTTTCACTCAGCACAACCCTGGGGGTCCTATAAAGTGTGGCCAGGCACTCTCAAGGCAAAGGTGGGTTCTGCTATTGCACTCAGACCTGGGAAAGGCTCCAGGTGTCTCTAGATCAACAGTTCTCAACCTGTGGGTCGAGACCCACAGTTACTGTATTAAAGGGTTGCAGCATTAGGAAGGTTGAGAACCACTGCTCTATATTAAAACTGGGAAAGTCTTCTACTCCTGCGGGCAGGAGCTATAAGGCTCCTTCAGCACCTTGGTCCCACACAGTCTGTTCCATGCAGCTTCTGAGCACTGTAGACCTGTGACAGAGTACTCCACTTTCTCCCACTGTTCCCATGCATGACCACTACCCAGAACACCCTGCCCCACTACCTTCTCCACAAAAAATGGATGGCTCCTGGCTTGGCAGTGCTTTCTCTGAGAGACACAGGTGGTCTGCAGGTGGCCAGACTGGGGCAAAAAAACGAGCCAGGGAAGGGCCTCTGAGAGAAATGCTGATGGTGACAGATACATAAAAACCCTTTACTGAAGAACAACAGATTGGAGGGCCTTCCACATCTCTGCCAGGTGCCGCTCAAGGCCCCACCCCATGGGTGCTGGATAATCAGAAGGTGTTCTTGATGTGGCCGGCCACCAACACAAGGATCTCTCCAATCTTCCTCTGCCAGTTGGTGATGTCCTTGGACACGGCGCACCACAGTTCCCCATGCCGAGGCTCTGCGTTCTCACAGCGCTTCCTCACCTCCTCCTGCTGTTCCTGGGGAGGGGGTCACACAGCATTCAGACCCCTCCCAGGCTGATCCCTGAACCTCATCTACCTCACACCTATCCCCTTGCAGACTGGGCTCCCATAGCACCAACCCCAGGCTGGGGGACCCTGGGAAGAGGCCCCAGGCTCATTTTGTACAGCAGGAGGCAGAGCTGCCTTTGGCTGTTACCCTTCAGGTGTGTTCCCCAAGACACCCCATCCTTCTGGGGTATGCGGACCCCTCTCAAGTCAGGGTGATCCCCAGACCATAAGTGGGAATTATGCCAGGTTCTTCAAGTCACACAAGTGCCCAACATCTTTCTCTGAATGAGAAGTCTGGCTGCTGCCTCCCAGAGACCCCAGGACAACCTGACTGCCCCCATTCCCATGAGCACAGCTGTGACAATGCCTGGCTCTGGGGTGGTTACTGGGGCTTCCCCTGAAGGCTACCCCTAGGCTCAGGCCCCTGAGACATAGGCCAACTCCATTCTCATTCATAAGGTGACCCTAGTCCCCAGTCATAAACAGCTCACTAAAATATACTGGTAGACCACTTAAAATAGACCAAGCCTATTATGGTCAGGGTGCCGGGTGTAACACTGTCCCCAGAACACAGCTATAGAGGCCCCTAGACTCCAGCCCAGCTCATTCCCTCCCCACCCCACAGAGTCATGCTGGTCTTGGCCACTTCCTGGGCCCCCATGGGCTGGGACCACTTGGCCCAAAAGGCCTCACCTCAGTGCCATGCTGCAGCTCAAACTTATAGAAGAAAGCCCATGCATCCCCCAGGTCCGAATCAATCTTCACGGTGCGGTGGAACCACTCCCTGGCCTTGGTGATCTTCCGCTCGCTCCAAAATAGCCTGTTCCAGAAGGGTGGTAGAAACCCAGAGTAAGTGGCCACAGTGCTCTTGGGCTGTGGCATGAGCCGGTGATGAGCAGCCAGGAAGGCTGAGGGCCAGGGCCTGAGCCAGGCCGTTACTCAAGGGTCTAATCTGACTGCTTCTGAAAATAACAAATTCATGCAGAGAAAGATCTTCAAATTCTTGAAAATGATTAGTTTCCTTTAGGTCAAATATGTTGATAGGAAATGAAACTAACCCTGACAGAAACTTAAATGAAGACTCTGGGTCTCCTTAGCAAGGGGCCTGCTGGATCGTCCTGCTCTGCCCAAAGCCAGCAGCACCCCAAGGGAGCCTTGAGAAGAAGGGCTTCTGGGTAGCATTGGGACCCAGGGCCAATAGCACCCCAAGCAAGCCCTAAGAAGGGCTTCTGGGCAGCACCCCAAGTGAGCCCTGAGAAGAAGGGCTTCCAGGCAGCACCAGGACCCAGGGTCCACCATGGCTACAGCCCCCAGTACACATGCCCATTGTACCTGCCAGACACAGGTGCCTGAGGAATAGGCCCCAGGAGGACCACTCTGGCTATCAGAGCTGGAGTTTGCATGAGCCCCACCCTCTGGGACTGTGTCACTTCCACTCACCTGCCCTGTCACCAGAGGCCCCACAGCAGATGTAAGACACACCTGAGCCTTCCATTCCATTCCAGGCAGCTATGTGGCCTGGTCTCAGTTACAAAATGGAATAATTTCATGCTGATAACCTGATTGTTTTTTAAGCCCTGTGGTATTCTTAATTACTTGGTGCTAGATAAACTGTGATTTGAAGAGCACGAACCGAGATAGCAGACACACATATTAGCTTGGGAGTGGCAAGGAGTGACTTATCTACCTTAGTAGAGCCTTTTATGAAGTTTTATGGCTGCCCTATCAAGAGTGTCACTCAAGAGCAGGACCCAGGGAGCTGCCGGACAGACATAAGCTGGCCTACCTGGTCTGCTGGGGGCTGCAGGCACTAGAGGGGAGGGGCACATGCAGGATGGTGAGCACACCATGCCCAAGGGTACCACACCAGACCTCCAGAGACCAAGCACTCATGCCCAGGGCTGGAGGAGCAGGGAAGGTTCCAGGCATCACCAAGGGGTAGGGCAAGGTGGGCATAGGAACTCAAGGGCAGATACACCACCCTGTCATGAAAGCCATCCTTCTGCCTAACAGCCTCAGGACCCAAGTAGGGACCAAGATTCTTCCCAGTTACCTCCCAACCTCCTGGCTCAGCATACTCAGGCCATACCCTTTCTAGGAGGAGGCAGAGGCCTTGAGTCAGGATGGCTCTGGAGGCCCTGTGGGTGGAGGCCTGGCCACAGCCTTCCCATCGCCCCACACTCTGCCATGCCCCACACATTGCAGACCTTGGCCCTCGCTGCCATGGGGAACCTGCAGCCTCTGCCACCTGGCCACACACACTACACTGCCAGATTCTAGAGTCACATTTCCAGGAAGCCCCTGAGCCAGCACGCAGTAGACCAGTGTCAAACATGTATGAAGCCCCTTGCTGACCTCTGCTTCCCTTCAAGCCCCATGCTACGAGATGGCCCTCACAGTCACCTCCATACCCGTGTGCTGATCAGGTGGAACCCAGTTAGCTCTGCACAGTCTCCAGGGTCACAGAGCTGAAAGCCCTAACACAACAGAAACAAAACTCTTGGCTAAAGCCCTTTGAGCCAAAGGGGTTTTGCTTATTACTTAAATTCTATATGAACCAATACCAGCAAAACTGTCTATCTTCCAACCCGGGCCAAACTAAAGGTATAAACTAAAAGGTAGCGGTTCAGTGCCTGTGCCTCAAGCGGCTAAGGCGCCAGCCACATACACCTAAGGTGGCGGGTTCGAATCCCCAGCCCGGGCCCGCCAAACAACAATGATGGCTGCAACCAAAAAATGGCCGGGCATTGTGGCGGGCGCCTGTAGTCCCAGCTACTTGGGAGGCTGAGGCAGGAGACTCGCTTGAGCCCAGGAGTTGGAGGTTGCTGTGAGCTGTGATGCCATGGCACTCTACCCAGGGGGATAGCTTGAGGCTCTGTCTCAAAAAAAACCCACAAAACTAAAAGGTAGCAGAGAGAGCAGTGTCTCCCCTGCCCCACCCAGAAAAAGCTAGAACAGAAGAAGGGCCGAATCACACCCAGGGCACCCTCAAGAGAGGAAGGGACCCTCATAGCCAGCAAGCCCCAGAGAAGGCTGTCCCTCTGTCCCTCCCCAGGGGATGCTGGTAGCACATGTCACATGGTTTTCTCTGCCTGGGGAAATGCGTGCCCCAGCCAAGATGAGGGCCCCACCTTGTCTCCAGCATCTTTGGGACCATCAGGGAGGGCAGAGAGAACTACTCACTTGGCAACAGCCAGGAGCACATGGGGATCGTGTTCACACTTCTTCAAGGCATCCACACTCTTTGTCTTCCTCTGGGGCCTTGCCTCAAGAAAAATGGCTTCAGACCACAGGATACCTGAAATTCAGAAACAAAGATGTGCACTTCCACCTCCGTTTTTGCTTTCAGGAACCTGCCCCACCTACATAGGCAGCCCTGAGAGTCTGCAGGAATCCTGACCCAGGCCATGGCTATTCCCACCAACCTCTCACACACTGCTGACAGGGCCAGTGGAAGGAAACCCATGGAGGCCAAGAGCTCCACCCAACCTGCTGCAGTCTAAATAGTCCTGACGGTAAAGACTGGATAACCTGTAAGGGTTCCCTCCTACTAACTCAGTAGTTTTACATCCAAGAATTTATCATTAAGAAAGACACCAGAAATACTAGTAAAGATCCATATAATCAGGTGTCCAACCTGTGAGCCACACACTGATTTTTTTGAGGATAGTTTTTGTGGTGTTAGATATCCTATTTAATATGTATGGACCTTTATTTTGCTAATCAGCTTTCATTACTGTTTGTGTATTCAATGTGTGGGACAAGCCAGCTCTTACTCTTCTACTGTGAGGAGAGAAGAAACAGGTGGGACAACCTGGAGAAAGTTACCTCAGCACAGTGCTGGATCAGACACTATGGATTGCTGAATGACTAGCAGCTGGCCGACAGGCGAGTGGCATGTTCCTGACACATCCACACAGATAATTATACTGCTGCTAAAAACTTTTTTTTTTTTTTGAGACAACAGTGTCACTCTGTAACCCTGGGTAGAGTACCATGGTGTGAAAGCTCCCAGCAACCTCAAACTCCTGGGCTCAAGTGATCCTCTTGCCTCAGCCTCCTCAGTAGCTGCAACTACCAGTACCCGCCACAACATCTGGCTAGTTTTTCTATTTTTATTAGAGACGGGGTCTCACTCTTGGCTCAGGCTACTCTTGAACTCCTGAGCTCTGGCAATCCACTTGCCTTGGCCTCCCAAAGCATTGGGATCACAGGCGTGAGCCACCATGTCCTGCCACATTTTTATCCTTAAAGATTCAACAAAAGGGCCATGCCTGTGGCTCAGTGAGTAGGGTGCCACTGGCGCCCCGAGGGTGGCGGGTTTGAACCCGGCCCTGGCCAAACTGCAACAAAAAATAGCCAGCATTGTGGCAGGCGCCCTTAGTCCCAGCTACTTAGGAGGTTTAGGCAAGAGAATTGCCTAAGCCCAAAAGCTGGAGGTTGTTGTGAGCTGTGATGCCACAGCACTCTACCAAGGGCGACAAACTGAGACTGTCTCTTTAAAAAAAAAAAAAAAGATTCAATGAGAATGTATGATTCTCCCAAAATTTTCAGCTATATAAACTAAATACATTGTATGACTTTAATTTTGTACAATAACACAAACTGAAATAAATAAGCTACAAGTGTGATTCCTGCCCAGTGTGGTGGCTCACACCTGTAATCCTAGCACTCTGGGAGGCCGAGGTGGGTGGACTGCCCGAGCTCACAAGTTGGAGACCAGCTATGAGCAAGATTGAGACCCCCGTCTCTAAAAATAGCTGGGTATTATGGCAGGCACCTGTAGTTCCAGCTACTTGAGAGGCTGAGGCAAGAGGATCACTTGAGCCTAAGAATTTGAGGTTGCTGTAAGCAATAATGCCATGGTTCTCAACCCCAAGGCAACTGAGTGAGACTCTGTCTCAAAACAAAAAACAAAAAGAGTAGTGATTCCTAAGTGGTGGGCCTACAGATAATTTCTACTTCTGCCTTTTAACTCCAAATGTGTTTATTCTGCATATGTGTTACTTTAAGTAGAATGATAAAAGTTCAACGTTAAATCATAGCACTTCAGAACATAAAAATAAATTCTCCCATGTTGAGACCAGGAATTTAAACATCCTAATGACCAAGCACAGCTGAGACACCTGACTGCTGGACCAGCAACTGTTGGAAGCCTGAGTCCCTATACCCTGAGAAATGCACCCCTGCCAATCTGGGAAGCCAGGAAGCTGCCCTTACCAGAGTTGGGGCACTCTTGCAGTGCCTTGGCCATCAGAGTGTTGGCAATGTTCTTCAGCCCCGCACGGTACTCCAGCCGCACAGACTCCAACCTGAGAAGGTGGCCCAGGGATGCACACAGTGAGCTAGCAGCTCATACCAGCTGATGCCTGGGAGCTTTGGCGAGGCTGGTCTGAGGGGCCCTGGCCCAGTCACAGTGGCAGCTCAGATCCCCTCTGAAGAACAGAGCTCACCACTGGAGAAGTGAGGTGCCAGGGCCCATATCCCACCAGGGCTCCAGCAACTGCCCCCAAGGAGACTTTGGATCCTGATGTTACCCAAATGGAGCACAGGCACCCAAAATAAGCAGAGACTGGACTGGGAGACAAGTGCCACTCAATGGGCACCCAGAGCTGTCTCCAGCAGTGCCTGCTGCCCTCACTGGGCCCACACCAGCTCACCCCAGTCATCAGCCCCTCCTTGCCCCGGCGCCCATCAGAGCACAAGAAGAACAGCATCAATCCATCTGCAGACCTGTCCCAGCATCTAAGCCAAACCCTCTCAAGGCAAGGAACATGACTCCTCATGGCCAGCACCTGCCGCCACCTCCTGGAGCATGGACACAACGGCCAAATGGCTTCTGCACAAGCAGCTGGGTGAGGACGGCTCCCAGGGTAAGGAGGGCCAACAGCCCAGACTGCCCAGATCCTCTGAGACTCACCATAGCTCAGGGTTCTTTGGGTTCCTCAGACGAGACTTCTCCAGAATAGCCCGTGCCCGGGTGAGCTGCCCAATCTTCTCTTCCAGCCGCGAGAGCAAAAGCCACAAGGGTGTAGAGTGGGGACACTTCTTCAACTGCAACCAACAGACCAGAGTGGAGCTCAGGTAGGGTCTGTAGGCTAAGAGCACCACAGCAACTCTTCATACGTACTAAGGGCCCCAAAGCCAGCATGTCGTGCAGGGACACTGCATGCTCTGCCAGGAGGTGAGGGTGTTATAGTCATGCAGTGTGCATGGCACACAGGGACACGTGTGGGTTGTGTATGTGCTTATGTTGTGCACACAGCCTCCACACCAGCCATGCAGGGTGTGCAGCTTTGCAGAAGGAAAGTGCAAGACTCAGAGCATGGGACCAGGCCCCAGCCAGAGCCCAGACTGCCCACTGGGGCCTAGCGAGGCCCAGACTATCAGCCCCAGCCCTCCCCAGAGGTGAGGGGCAAGTGGCTGGGCACAGCTGAGGCTCACCCCCTGGCTGTAGGCCTCCCGTGCCTTCTCCATCTGCCCTTCCTGCTCCTCGATCTGCCCCTTCATCATCCACAGCTTGGGGAAGTCCTCGTAGGGACGCAAGGCCTCCTCACACAGCTCCTGCGCGGCTGCGATGCTGCCCAATACCCACTCCAGCTTCACAGACTTCATGAACACCTGCATGGCAGACACACACTGTCACACTCACTCCGCATGTCTGTCCTTCTCTGTGCACTTTTGCAAGTTTATCACAGCTCTTCTGTGTACACAAGAGGTGGGGACAGATGGAGGACCAAATCTCAGTCAAGTGGCCAGTCGGCCCACTTGCCTGCCCCCTGCCCCACTCACCCGAGCAGTGGGTGCACTGCTCCGCGCCTTAGCCAGCAGCCTCCGAGCCCGCTCGTACTCGTTGTTTTCGGACTCCAGCTTCACGGCTGCCAGCCAGATCTCCTCACTGTTGGGGTTAGCCTGAGAGCAAGCACAACGTGCCAGCAGGGTCAGAGCACAGACCCAGCACTCAGTCGCACCTAATCAAAAGCAGGCAGCCTGGAACCAAACTGGCCTTGATCTGTTACAGGAATGGCCTGGCCAGAGCCCTTCAGGCTAGGAGATGGCAGAGCAGACCGGCCTGGAAACACATGTGTGCATCCACTCTCACTCTGTGGTGAGGGGAGGCCTCCTAGCACTTAAGCAACAATAAGCCTCTTCTCTAGGATCTCCCAGAATTCGCTCAAACCCCGGAGTTGGTTGAGCACAACCTACACATATGGGCCCATCACACCCAACCCTGCACTTCCCCTAGGCCCAGGGAAATGAATCAGAGCTCCCAAAGGCTGAGACTGGGCCACACACAGCCCCAGTGGCCAGTGGACATGCAGGCAGGGCACTAGGCCCAGAGGCCCAGGCAAGAGAACCACCTCAACTGGCAGCTGGAGGGGACACCACTGTGATTACTTAGAGCTGCGATGCCGCTTACTCTTGAGTTTTCTCAAATAGGCAACTGACAGCAAAAGGCTACACCCAGGCCAGGCCCTTTCATGGTGTTTACTTAAGGAAGGACATATTTTATGTTGGCCTGGATTACAATAACAGACTGACATTTATATAGCGTTCTATAGTTTCTTAGAAAATATGCAGTGAAACTATTTGACTAACACCCACGTTGTCATAAAGTATTAGGATACGTAACAATAAAAAAAGTAAAAACAAGGTACTCATAAAAACTGCACACTCATGACAGCCAGGCATAATCAGGCCAGCTGGGCGTAGTTATCTGAGTGGGGCCCACTCACCCAGGGGCCCTACTGGCACCAGGTGGCCCACATGCAATCCTGGGCTCTATGTCCTGGAAGAGTTACATGGCTACAAGTGGTGGCACCAGGAGGTAGTTTCCCCAACCAAGCTGTCCTTTCTGCTCTCTGGTCTCTCAGCCTGGGGTCTAGTCCCTGACCATAGCATGGCCAAGGCATGTGTACATGGAAGTTTTGAGGCCCAGCCAGCACTGAGGCCAGGCTCTGTGTACACCAGGATCCTCACCCACCTGGAAGGCCAGAGCCAAGATGCTCCTTGCTGCAGGCACATCCCCTGCTAGCCACTTGGACTTGGCGCCCATGAGCCATAGCACCTCCGCTTTGGGGCAGTGAGCCACAGCCCTCTGCAGGAGGGCTTCCAGGGACTCCCTGCAAGACAGAGGCTGCGGTCATCAGGGCCAGGGCCATAAACCAAGCACACACCACACTCAGCTACGTCCTGGGCTCTGAAAAGATAGTTATTGCTCCAAAGTTCGACATAGTTAATGATTTACCAGATTTTACAATGGGGAGAGTATGGGGAAATCTTTTCTCTCCATAAAGATCCTAAAATCAACTACTGAAGAGGGTTCCACAAAGCAGCGCATTGTCTAGGCAGCAGAGCCTGAGGAGGAACTTCACAAGAGAACTTTTACAGCCATGTGTCCTGCTGGTAGTGATAACTGCCTGGTCTGGGGACAGGAGAGGCTTTTTCATCTTGAACCACAGAGTACACCCTGGATCCACCAATAAAAATTATGATCCCGGCTGGGCGCCTGTGGCTCAAGCGGCTAAGGCGCCAGCCACATACACCTGAGCTGGGGGGTTCGAATCCAGCCCAGGCCTGCCAAACAATGACGGCTGCAACCAAAAAATAACCGGGCATTGTGGCGGGCGCCTACAGTCCCAGCTACTTGGGAGATGGAGGCAGGAGACTCACTTGAGCCCGGGAATTGGAGGTTGCTGTGAGCTGTGATGCCATGGCCCTCTACCCAGGGTGACAGGTTGAGGCTTCGTCTCAAAAAAAAAAAAAAAATTACGATCCCATGGGCGGCACCTGTGGCTCAGTGAGTAGGGCACCAGCCCCATATACCAGGGGTGGCAGGTTCAAACCTGGTTCCAGCCAAACGCAACAAAAGAAATAGCTGGGTATTGTGGCAGGCGCCTATAATCCCAGCTACTCAGGAGGGTGAGGCAAAAGAATCCCCTAAGCCCAAGAGCTGGTGGTTGCTGTGAGCTGTGACGCCACAGCACTCTACCAAGGTTGTTAAAGTGAGACTCTGTCTCTAAAAGAAAAAAAAAATTATGATCCCAAGTCTATTCCTCTAGCATCCAAAGAAATGATCTTATTGGAAGAAAGTCATTTTAGGTCATTGTTGATCAAGAAGACTGCTGGCCCTGGGTGTCACGTGTAATGCCCAGACTCTCCTGTGGCCACGACCCCTCTGAGCCCACCAAGAAGACAAAAGGAGGACGTGGAGTGAGGCCTGACAGCAACACATTGCTCACAGAGAACGGCCCAGGTGCCACTACTACTCCCCTCTTAGCCAACCTGGGAGACCACAGGACAGTGGGGGGCCTGCTGCTGAGCCAGCAGTCCAGGGCAGCAGATCCTGCTTAGGTCTCAGCCCACACCTGGCACCACCCTGTTTTGCATTACATGGCCCCAGGTGATCTACTGCAGGGTGAGTACTGGGAGAATTTCAAAATGCTCCACCAAAAGTTAAGTCAAACCAGCACATCAGCTGGAAAGTGGAAAGAATGATGCTGACATTAAACACACCAAGAAGAAAAGACACGAGGGCTCAACACCCCTCTGTAAGGCCTGTCCCAACCCAGCACAGGGAGCAGGGCCCCAGGGCCTAGGAGAGGACTGACAGGGTGCTTGGGGACTCCAGCCTAATACCCTCAGAGCTGCCATTTAAAATAAGAAATCACAATGCCTGATTTAATCAATGTTTACAGACAATAAGGCAAACTCAAAAGGTTGTTTCAATTACAGAGTACAATTAAAGAAAATCATCAAAGACCTCCTCTGAGTGCAAAAATTAGCCAAAACTCAAAGCCAGCAGAGCTTAAATGAAAAACACATCTGCCTGGCCCAGATGCTGCCCTGGCTACTGCTGCAGGCATGGGCTATGTGGTTCCAGCCTGCAACCAGCACCCCCAGCATTCCTTGAGCCACCGGGAACTTGGGCAGGCCCCTCAATGACCAAACTCCTGAGCTCCAGCAATCTTCCTGCCTCAGCTGGAACTACAGGCGCCCACTACAACACCCAGCTAGTTTTTCTTTTCTTTTTTTTTTATTCACGATACACAGGTACTGGGAGACACCCAGCTAGTTTTTCTATTTTTAGTAGATATAGGGTCTCACTCTGGCTTGGGCTTTGTCTTGAACTCATGAGCTCAAGCAAGCCACCCACATTGGCCTCCTACAATGCATGAGCCCCTGTGCCCAGCAAAGTCCATGCTTTTCAACTATGAAATAGTGATAATCCTTTCACAAAAAACGGTTACAAAGATAGCTCCAGCTTAAAGTTTCAAGTGCCATAAAAGCTGCTTCCATTGTTACCATGGAAGGTCAGACCTCAACCAGGTATGCTAGCACTTCTGCAGGGATGAGGGGCTTACAATTAGCATAGACAGGAGCAGGAGGACTCTTTAGCCCAAAGGGACTGCCTTGTACCTGGTGCCGTGGTTCTTCTCAAAGTATGCAGCTCGTAGCCACACGCTCTTCTTGCTGGGGAACACCTGCAGGGCGTAGGCATAGATGGCACGTGCACACTCCAGGGCACTGTGGGCCACACACTAAAGCAGAGACAGATATGAGAAAAGGGCCTGGCACTGGCTACAGGGTATGATGACATGTGCTCACAGTGATGCTCAGGGATCCATCTCCTAGGAAGCGCAGGGTGCTGGCTGATGTAATTAGAACTATGATGCAGGACAGGACACCAAGATGGGGGGGGCATGTGAGCTGCCTGCTGGCTCTTAGCCTCCAAGAGGAGCCGGCACAGAGGAGCACCAATCACCAGCTGTCATATCCAAAGCACATGCACGCACACACCAGCACAGAGGAGCACCAGTCACCACCGGCCATATCCAAAGGCACATGCACGCACACACACAAGTAGTTAACTGCACTGTGCACCCTGGTTTCCTTTTAAAAAATGAGGTGTAGGTGGCACCTGTGGCTCAGTGAGTAGGGCGCCGGCCCCATATATAGAAGGTGGTGGTTTCAAATCCAGCCCCAGCCAAACTGCAACAAAAAAATAGCTGAGTGTTGTGGTGGGCGCCTTGAGAATCACTCACCCTAGTGCTATGATGTCACAGCACTCTACCAAGGGCAATAAAGTGAGACTATGTCTCCAAAAAGAAAAAAAAATATGAGGTATAGGTTTGGTGCCTATAGCTCAAACAGCTAAGGCACCAGCCACATACACCAGAGCTGGCGGGTTTGAATCCAGCCTGGGCCTGCCAAACAACAATGACAACTACAACCAAAAAATAGCCAGCATTGTGGTGGGCACCTGTAATCCCAGCTATTTGGGAGGTTGAGGCAAGAGAATCGCTTAAGCCCAGGAGTTGGAGTTTGCTGTAAGCTGTGACACCACGGCACCCAGGGCTACAGCGTAAGGCTCTGTCTCAAAAAAAAATAAAAAAATAAATAAATAAAAATTAGTTGTAATATGTTTTACATTATAAAAGTTATAGTACTCTGAAATCTTTAAGAGATAGAAAAACCCATCCACTCAAATGTAACTACAGTAAATACTTCTTTCTTCAGACATGTTATTTCTATACTCGAGAATGATTTTAGAGGGGACGTGGTATCTCACTCCTGTAATACTAACACTTTGGGAGGTTGAGGTAGGAGGATCACTGGAAGCCAAGAATTTGAGACCAGCCTGGGCAACAGAGTGAAACCCCATCACTACAAAATTAAAAAAAAAACAAAAATAGGGCGGAGCCTGTGGCTCAGTGAGTAGGGCACCAACCCCATATACCGAGGGTGGTGGGTTCAAACCCAGCCCCAGCCAACTGCAACAAAAAAAATAGCCGGGTGTTGTGGTGGGCACCTGTAGTCCCGGGAGGCTGAGGCAAGAGAATCACCTAAGCCCAAGGAGTTGGAGGTTACTGTGAGCTGTGACTATATGGCACTCTACCAAGGGTTAATAAGTGAAACTGTCTCAAAAAAATAAAAAAAAATAAAAAAATTAACTGGGTAGGGGGACATATCCCTGTAGTTCCAGCTACTCAGGAGAACAGGGCAAGAGGATTACTTGAGCTCAACACTCAGAGGCTGCAGTGAGCTGTAATTCCCCCACTGCACTCCAGCCTGGCTGACAGAGTGAGACCTGTCTCTTTAAAAAAAAAAAAAAAAGGTAGGCTCGGCACCTGTGGCTCAAGCCGCTATGGCACCAGCCACATACACCAGAGCTGGTGGTTCGAATCTAGCCCGGGCCTGCCAAACAACAATGACAACTACAACCAAAAAATAGCTGAGTGTTCTGGCAGGCACCTGTGGTCCCAGCTACTTGGGAGACTGAGGCAAGAGAATAACTTAAGCCCAGGAGTTTGAGGTTGCTATAAGCGGTGATGCCACGCATTCTATCCAGGGTGACAGCTTGAGGCTCTGTCTCAAGAAAAAAAAAAAAAAAAAAAGAGCTAGGCTCGGTGCCTGTAGCTCAGCAGCTAAGGGTGCCAGCCACATACATACACCAGAGCTGGGGAATTCAAATCCAGCCCAGACCTGTCAAACATCAATGAGCATTGTGGGGGGGCACCTGTAGTCTTAACTACTAGGGAGGCTGAGGCAAGAAAACTGTTTAAGCCCAAGAGTTAGAGGTTGCTGTGAGCTATGACACCAGAGCACTCTATCGAGGGTAATATAGTGAGACTCTGCCTAAAAAGAAAAAAAGAAAGGTAATTTTGGCTTGGCACCCATAGCACAGTGGTTATGGCACTGGCCACATACACAAAGGCTGGAAGGCTCAAACCCAGCCCAGGCCAGCTAAAAAACAAGAATGACAATTGCAAAAACAAACAAAAAAAGCTGGGCATTATGGCGGGTACCTATAATCCCAGCTACTTGGGAGGTTGAGGCAAGAAGAATTGCTTGAGCTCAAGAGTTTGAGATTGCTGTGAGCTGTGATGCCACAGCAGTCTACTAAGGGCAACATAGTTGAGACTCTGTCTAAAAAAAGCAAAATAAAAAAAAGGTAATTTGGCTTGGTGCCCAAAGCTCAGTGGTTAGAGCGCTGGCCACATACACTGAGGCTGGCAGGTTCGAACCTGGCCCAGGTCTGCTAAACAACAACTGCAACAACAACAAAATAGCTAGCATTGTGGCAGGTGCCTGTAGTCCCAGCTTCTTGGGAGGCTGAGGCAAAGGAATTGCTTAAGCCCAAGAGTTTGAGGTTGCTATGAGCTGTGACGCCACAGTACTCTACCAAGGGTGACATAATGAGACTCTGTCTCAAAAAAAAAAAAAAAGGTAATTTTATTTCTTGGTCAGCACGAGACAATAAAACAAGAAAGCCAGTCACCATGTACAGTGTATAAGTCGTGATGGCTATGAAACCCAGAGGATACTATCACTCAGCCTCATACTGCACCTGGGCACTGCCCCTGAGAAGCCCCGGCTTCCCATACTCTGCAGATGTGGGAAGTATTCTTGTGAAGGAGTTCGCACCTAAAGGAAAGTAAAAGGCCCCTAGAAGTGGGACAGGAATAATATTTTACAATTGTGAATGTCAGCTCACAGCTGTCCTAGTTCCCAAACAGGGAGGGCACTGAGGACCATGCTATAGAGGACAGGGAGCCGCCCAGAGTTCAAGGATGCCCAGCATGAAAAAGGAGCAGGCACAGGTAGGGCTGGGGGCTCCTCACTCAGACTGTGCCTCCCAGTCATGTGACCTCCCTTTAACTTGGCACCATGGAAAGCAGGAAAGGCCCTGCCTCAGGCAGTGTCCTCACACCAGGAGTACCCAAAGGAGTCAGGGAAGGATGCTGGAGAGGGACAGGCCCTGGGCAAAGTAAACTGGTCTATGCCCTTCTCTGTCTTCTGACCAAAGTCTTGGAGGTCAGTTATAAAGCCTCTCAGCCTCCTCTTATCTTCAGTTGCCTGAAAACTGTTTTAGAAGCCCACGGGACCACATACATTTTGTTCAGAGTCTTGGCTGCAGGGCCAGGTTAGTCCCTGAGTGGGAGGAACGTTAACCATCACACTTCCAACAAGACCGTTTAGTTCTTGGTCTTGTGTCACAAAGCAGTGTGAAAAACAGGACATGAGGGAGAGAACGAAAAATAAGAGAAAAACTAAAATAGCTCTTGGATTTCTGCTTTCACAACTTGTTCCTGGCAGGATGACAGCCCCACCAAGAGGCCCCAGGCTGTCATAAGCAATGAAGAACAGAACAGAGAAACAAAGCACCTAACTCTACGTTCAAAATAAAAATGGCTCAGGAATCCTTCTATATTATTAGTATACGTCTACATTTATTTATTCTTTTTTTTTTTTTTTTTTTTTGAGACAGAGTCTCACTATGTCGCCTTTGGTAGAGTGTCATAGCATCACAGCTCACAGCAACCTCAAACTCTTGAGCTCAAGTGATTCTCTTGCCTCAGCCTCCCAAGTAGCTGGGATTACAGGCACCCGCCACAATGCTTAGCTTTTTTTTTTTTCTTTGCAGTTGCCATTCTTGTTTTATAGCTGGATAGGGCTGGGTTTGAACCTGCCAACCTTGGTGTTATGTGGCCGGCACTGTAACC